CCTTTTTTCCGTCATTCATTCAACAAATGCCAGTCTGTTGTCAACACAGGGTGGGGGGCAGTTATAAGGCAGTGACAAAATTCCCATGGTTCTCACATCAGAATACAGAAATGCAGACAATACTACATAAAATGAAAAATAAGGTCTTGGTAGACAGAATAGATGGTGGGGGAAACACAGAGAAGGGAAAGATTAACTTAGATTGCAGTCTATAAACTGAGTTTACTTTGGCATGGGACTCAGAGGACCCAGCCATGAGCAGTCTCTGGGATAAGCCTGGGCACAGGAGGAAGAACAAAGCCTTGACTAAATTAGAATACTTTTCCTCCCTGTTGCTCTATATATGTTTTCCTCTTGGTGTTTTGACTTGATTATTCCTTCATCCATTGAAGAACATCATCATTGAGAACATTCACACAGCTTAAGATACTGTAGTTAGCATGCAGGTGGAGAGGCAGGGATGCTGGTGAGCCCAAGATGGACCTTTCTGAAACCCAATTTTCACTTGCCACACTCTCTCCATAACTCTCATGTTCAAAGAGCATAGGTTTTGTGAGTCCAAATGTAATTTGACTTTATTTCTTAGAGAAATATCTTAGAAAATGCTTCATGTAACAGACTGAGGAGGCGACTCGGCAGGTAAGAGCACCTGCTGCTCTTCAGTTCCTAGTTCTCACAATCACGTGGCTTACAACTGTCTGTAACTCTAGATCCAGGAGATCAGACACCTCCAGCCTCCTTGGACACCTTCACACGTGCAAATATTCACATGCACATACACACTGACACACTTGCGTGCACTCATACACAATTAGAGTCATGAATATATTTGTGAAATAGCTCTAACACTCACATGTCTAGCAGAAAGCAATGGAAAGCTTCAGATGCAGCAAAGGCTGAACCAGTTCCTGCCAGACACAGAACACCATCCCCATAGATTTGCAGATACTTAAAATGTCTTTCATTTTTAAATAATTGAAACCCATGGGATGCTGCGAAGATGATAGAGTCAGTCCCATGTCTCTCCTTTTCTGTTTCCCCTGTGCTAACATCTTGGTAAACTGGAATGTATAGGATCATGTATGTAACACATGTACTATCATACCAACATCAGGAAACTGATAGCATGATCTCCAAACCTTACCTAAATTCCAGTTGGTTCGGCACGTGCTGTGTGTGTGTGTGTGTGTGGTGTTACTCCATGTCTAGGCTCCTGTAGCCACACGGCCATCAGGATAGAGAGCTCCTTCATCACTGACAGAGTTTTCTTGGCTAATGGTAGCTCTGTGTATGACCAATAGCAACAGATGTCAGCCTCCTTTTATTCTGGACTGTTGTGAGTCAATCTGTAGGGAAAGGATTCCGAACTTTCCTGATGTATTTGCCTGCCATGGAATCTACTTAGCTGACATACAAATGCAATTCTTCGCTGTAATTTATACAGAGATACGTGTGAGCCCAGAACAAAAAAGGAACAAACAAAGGAAAAGCATCGATTTGGGCTGAGGAGATAGCTCATTCTGAATAATGCACCAAGGTCACCAGTTGGTGCAGCATTGGAGAGCCCAAGAGTGGTGATCCTCGAGGCTCAGTGGTCAGTCTCCCTGGACTCATTGCTGAGTTCCAGACCAATGATAGGCTCTGTAGCAGAAGGACAAGGTGGATAGCACCTGAGGAGTGATTTAGTTGTTCTCTGTCCTCACATGAATGCACACATACATACCCTCACATATGTGTGTGTGTGGGGGTGCACACATGTACACCTGCAAACATACACACATGTGCATTCACCTGCATATATGTGCACCCCCCCCCAAACCAAACAAATTTGAGTCAGTCACCCTGACTTGCTATGGGGGCCCATCAGCTGCTACCCAGTTGGTTCAAGACACTAACAATACCAGTTCTGTGACCTCAATAGGTGACTCTTGAGAGGAACCAAAGGCTATGGTATAAAGAACTTGAAGGTTTTGTGATTTCGATGGGGCGTTTGCTATATAGCACCTCCTGAAGGTAAATGAGAAAGCAAGTGTGTTGGGAAGAGGTTAATGGGTCACTTTAGGCGTGGGCACACTCTTACAGAAATCAGAACAAATGATAAAACCCCTCTTTGTGTGTAGAAGCGGGAAACCCTCAGGACATGCAGCAGGCAGTGAGAACCCAAGGTGCAGGCTGAAATGGAAACATGCAATAAACAGACCGAGGAGACAGCAGACTTAAGGAAAACATCTGTCTTAGGATCTAACATCCAAAAGCCACATATGTGGCCTGGGATCAATCTTGCAATGCTTAACAGAGGAAAGTGGAGTGGAGTGGCTCTGCGAGGCCCTGTGCAGGCTCTGCGGGGCCCAGTACAGGCTCTGAGAGGCCCTGTGCAGGCTCTGCAGGGCCCAGTGCAGGCTCTGTGTGACCCGGTGCAGGCTCTGAGGGGCCCGTGCAGGCTCTGTGAGACCCGGTGCAGGCTCTGTGAGACCCGGTGCAGGCTCTGCAAATTTCTCACTTTTATTTCCTCGAGAGATTCTCTGTGTGTTCTGCCCAGAATGCTGCCAGGGACTGGTGGGATGAACTCATATTGCCCCGTTTCTGAAGTAACAGGACTCAGAAGCTAACTTTAGAATGATGTGTGGAAAAGATGTTTCACCTGTTTTGTTCTAAAAAACAAAACAAAACCCAACGTGCCATAGGAGATGTTTGCTTTGTCAAATGAAACTTCTGGAAATCTCAAGATAGACTCTTCAAACATCTCCTATTTCAGACACGTGTTAGGGCTTGGGCACCTGAGTACGAGGAAGTGAGTTTCGACTCTAGAAACGTGTAGTACTGGGCACAGGAGCGTGTGTCTGTAATTCTAGTTCTCCTAGGGTGAGCTGAAGGGGAAGAAGACTTCCTGAAAGCCTGGGCTAGCCTGGCCTACAAAGGGGTAACTAAGAGACCCTGACTCAAGGTGAAGACTGATACCTGAGATTGTTCTCTGACCTCTACATGCATGCCTGTACACACACACACACACACACACACACACACACACACACACACACATGCATGCACACACACATATGTGCACATGTGTGTGTGTGTGTGTAACTTGTAAGCTAAAAGTAGGTCATATTTTCATAAAGTCTCAAGGAAATGACAAGCATCTATCACAGTACTAGCACACGTGTGGTACGGTAGGCCCTTGTCTCCTCTTTATGCCTTCAGTTCAAATCCTGGCACATACTGTAGGGGGCTCGGTTAAAGGAAGCGGATCAAGTGCGCTGTAGTTATGTTGGTGCTCTATTTCTTTTAGTAGAAGCAGAAGAGAATAAAGAACAGAGCCCACCTACCACCGCTGGTGTTCTCCTTCCTCCCCACTATCTTTCCAGTGTGCTGTGCATGCTGCCCGTTCTTCTCCAGCGACTTGGTCGTGTCATCTGAAGACTGCCTGCCGTAACTGGTGTGAAACCTGGCCTTCGGGACTGGAAACAATCGCTTGAGAAACTTCATTACTCCCTTTCATTCTCCACTCCATAAAATTCCTCTTTCTAACTTATCTCTGTTTTGCAACCCATACTACAATAAGAATCTTATGTGCATGGTCACATACGTTTGAGCAGTTTGAAATTTTACCTAATATAAACTAACCCTCCATAGATGATAGTGCTTTGGCTACAGGATAGTGATTTGGTTGAATAATGGTGACAATGCCCTGGTTTTGTGGGGAGGAGAAGTGTTTAAATGAGGGATTCCGGGTAATCAGGAACTGTAGTATGACTAGACAGGTAGAAAATTCAGCAAAAGGGAGCAAAGGGTGGTTAAACGCTGACTGCTAGGAAAAGCAGTGTGGGTCAACCCACTGAGAAAATGTCCATCTCGTCTCTGCTCACAGTCTGTGGCTCAGTCCCCTCACAGTTGCCACTGGAGACACATTTAATCAGCTGGGACCTAAATAATGTGCCTGATTTATTTTCAATAACATGTATTTCCCCTTCCTTCCTTCCTTCCTTCCCTCCCTCCCTCCCTCCCTCCTTCCTTCCTTCCTTCCTCCCTTCCCTTCCTTCCTCCTTCCTTCCTTCCTCCTTCCCTTCCCTTCCTTCCTCCTTCCTTCCTTCCTCCCTCCCTCCCTCTCTCCCTCCTTCCTCCTTCCTTCCTTCCTTCCGTCCTTCCTTCCTTCCTTCCTTCCCTTCCTTCCCTTCCTCCCTTCCTTCCCTTCCCTTCCTTCCTCTCTTCTCCTCTCCCCTCCCCTTCCCTTCATTTCTTCTTTGTCTTCATCATGTTCTTTTTCTCTCAACAAGACAGGGTCTTTATATACCCTGGCTGTCCTGGAACTCACTCTGTAGACCACTGGCCTCTGCCTCCCAAGTGCTGAGTAAAGTTGTGTACCACCTCTGCCACTGGCTGTGTTTCCTTTCCTTGTAATGTAAAGGTGCTGGGTCACATCAAAGTCCATTATCCCTTCAAGTCACACAGGCTAAATGTGGTAGACGTGAGCTCAGGTGTTGTGATTATACTGTGTCTCCCCTTCTGTCCTCCCTCTCCTCTCCCTCATCCCTCATCCCTTTCTATTCTTTCTGTTTCTTTCCCTCCTTGCCTTCCTCCTCTCAATTCCCAATTTATGGTTCTCCTGCTTCCACCGTCCTTTCAGGTGCTGGAATCACCAGTATTTATGAACATACTCAACTACTTCCATTTCCTTAAGACAGATTCTTTCTAATTTTTTTAAATGTTGTCTGGTGTTGAAGAGAAACTTGATGCAAAGGAAGGGCTCAAATTATATCGTTCTTTCTTAGAAGAACTAGCTAAAACTGCTTGATCACAATCTGGAAAAGGCAGATGGATTTTAGTTAGACTACCCGAGAATCATGGGATAGAAAAGGTGTACCCTGGGTGCTCACTTGTATGTATGTGGATTACTGATATGTCTCCTTATACCACAAAAGAGACTAGTTGTATCTTCTTAGAACAGATAGTTGGCCTAATGACTTTGCCTCATTTTAGTATCCACACAATTAAAATTCAACTCCCTTTTAAAATTTTATTTTTTTTCCACAAAAAAAGATACATGTTAGGCCAGATTCCTTCCACCTGTCCAGGTGGTCACCTGGTGGACATCTTGCCTTTCCCAAGTGCCCATAGCATCCTTTAATAGTCTGTGTTTGGGGAGCATTGGAGATGCTCATGGCTCATTTTAGTAATCTGCATTTGTGGGACATTGGGGTGCTCAAATCTTCCTTGTGGCAGGTGTTTTCCATGGGTTATCATGGCAATAGTTTTCCACTGGGTTATCAAATGAGAGAGTTTCTTCGTTAAAGATCTTGGGAAGGGTTAACAGTCAAACCAGAGACCAGATGACCTGCTGGAGGGTAGAATGGAAGAATTTTCTGGGGAAGTGTCAAATTATCCATGAACTAGCCCCAAATGCAGTAACTCTGAGGTCTAGTCAACCCCGTTGTCTCAAGAATGATGGTGTAGATGGTGAACTACCTTTACTTTTTGAGGTGAGAGAGTTATTCTTTAAGCATATAGTACACAAATTGTCCAAACATGAAATATGTTTGATTGGGTAACTAATTTCTATGTGTGTTTTGCTTTGTTTTACTGAATTTAATGCTATTTCTAAACAACTATTTGCCATTTATATATTCTGAACCCTAATTATTGAAAAATTCAGTATTCTGGGACTAGGGAAAGAGAGTGGATCAGAGTCAGAAAACTGGTGTTTTGCCCAAATTTTACTCACCAGTTTTTTTTTTAAAACCACACAGTGTCGGATCTTGTTATGATATTTTCATAATTATGAACATTATATATATGAATCATATTCACCCCCATTGCCTTCTCTTGGCTCTCTACTCCTCCTGATCCTCTTTCTCTTCTGGATATTTTCCCTTTTACTCCTGTGTCTTTTTTGTGTGGAACGTAATGCATTCAGTCGAGGCTGCTTCCAGAAGCGGGGGTGAGCGCTGTTTACAGGAGCATGAACCCCTTACCAGTGGAAGAGAACTCTCTGCCAGCCAATATTAACCGCCTGTTGCCCTCAGGGAAAGGTAGGGGCTTTACGAGTCCCTTCCTACCTCAAGATAGGATGCTGATGTGCTAATCTTGAGATGGTCCTGTACAAGTCATCACAGCTGCTGTGAGCTCCAGTTGGACATGACTCTGTCGTTCCTAGAGGACAGCATTCCACAGCAACCTCCTCTCCCTTCGGCTCTTACCATCCCTCTTCTTGATGTACCCTGGCCATCGAAGGGAATGAAAAACATGCCCTACTTATGGATTGGTGGTCAACACTCACTTATTCTCAGCTCTTTGATCAGTTAGGAGCCTCTGATAGTACTGCTGACCACAGCAAAGAAAATCTTCCTTGATCAAATCTAAAACAATAATCCATACACATAAATAGAAACATTTAGAGCAATGGTTCTCAACCTTCCTAATTAGGAAGTAAACTGTAGGAACCTTTACTACAGTTCCTCATGTGTGGAGACCACCAACCACATATTTATTTTCATTGCTACTTCATAACTGTAATTTTGCTACTGTTATGAATGGTAATGTAAATATCTGCTATGCAGGATGTCTGATATCTGATCCCTCTCAACCCCCAAAGGGGTTGTGACCCACAGGTTGAGAACCATTGACCCACAGGTTGATTTAGAGGGAACCTTGATAGGTAAATTCTCATGTCCACTTGGCAAAACAACAGCATAGCTTATCCACAAATACCTCTGTCCTCCAGAGATATAGGCATTTGACCGTTATAATAACAGATGTTAAGTTCCATCCTGTAGAGTAGGCCTCCAAGACAACTGGAGGGCAGTTGTCACCACCCCTCCCAACAATCTTGTCACTATTGTGCCAGTGAACACATCTTTCCTGGCATGTTGGTATTACAGTATGCAGGGTTTTCACTGACTAAGATTCCGCAGTTGTTCTTGTAAATAAAGCTTTATTGGAACATAGCTATGCTAATTTATTTATATCTTCTTTCTCACTGTAACTTCAGTGATGAATAATCATGATAGATACCATATGGCTTGAAACATCTACTATCTGGTCCTTTGTTAAAAACATCCAACAGTTTCATGAAATTACTCCCTCATTTACTTATCCATTATTTTACGGGTCTTCAACTCTGCTAATGAGACTGAGGAGTGTAAAGGTGAATGTAGCTATTCCTGATACCAAGGGCTTACACTCTGACATGGACAGGTCAGCCATCATCTGACAAGGCAGAGTGTAGCAGGTACTATCAAGAAAAAATAACTAAGTTGTGGTAGCTCAGAGACAGTGAGGGCTCCCGATGAAGAGCAGAAATTGAGCTATGCACAGATTGTGCTTCCATTACTGTGACTCTCAGTCATTTCCCAGTAGGAACTTCCCAAGAAATAAAAGTCATTTCTTTTATGGAATTTTATAAATTGTAGTATTCAAAGGGTCGAAATGATTTCAGATATTATGTTGTGTGCAAATGTCTTGATCTGTCTGGGAAGGATCATACTTATAAAAATGTTGAAGGTTTGAAGGAAGGCTGCAGATAGAAGGGATCCAGTTTCACTTTTTACTGACTGTTCACTAAACAAAATAATGATAAGTGCTATCAATCTCAAAGGATTTTGAAGGCGAACCATTCAGACATCCAAGTAAGTTTTGAAAGCAAGATACAATTATAGAATAGTAGTCAAGTAATACTGTTTCTCAGTGGTGAGCGCACCTCTCCCTTCTGCAGAGTGTGCTCGTGTCTAAGTGTAAGTGAACTTTTGGTAAACTCTTACTGGCTTGTTGAAACCTTTAAGGATTCAGCTACCTCCTTCTGGGGAGAGCCCCGCATGAAAAGATTGAGACTTGAGATTAGTCTACCTTTTCCCTGAACACCTGCTCCGGGATTCATGGTTTTTTTATTTGTGTGTAATGCTCAGTTTGTCTGACTCAGCCCGTTCCTTCCTTTCTTGAAACAGGGGACACACATCCGAAACCGGCCGTAACTCACTGTAAAGTTGAGGATGATGAACTTTTGATCCTCCTGCCTCCAAAATGCTGGGGTTGCAGGTATATAACACTACTCAGTTTATATGACTGGTACCGAGTATCAAACTCAAGACTGTGTGTGTGCTGCCAACGTTCTCCCAGCTGAGCTACCCCGCCTGCTCTCACGGTGTACTCTGGAAACCCTTATAAAAGTGACATGGATACAGACAGACACCATGCTTTCAAACTTCGGTGGCTGATTTGGTAAAGGGTTCTAGAATTTCAGATTTCTCTAAAAGTGAGATTCCTTCAGTTCTGCTTTCAGCAGAATATCAAAACTGTTAGTTAAATTCCCGCCACTCATTCTTTATATTTCCAGGACCAAAGGAATCAGGGCTACTGAAATGCAGTCTTGACTTAGCTGTGAAGTACTACCGTGCAGAACATAATATTTTGATAGGTAAAGTGAATGTCTTTAGTGAGAAAGCTGCTGAAAGAAACTCTCGGACACTCAGTAAGGTAACAGAAATGTTTTAAAAAGCACCAAGCCTACAAAGTTCAAATTCTTCCTAGCCCCAGCCCGAGACCCCTGCAGTTAGCCATCTAACAGCACTGACTGGGAGCCCCTCTCTCCTCTTACGGAGAAACAGAGCAACTTGGCTCTGTGCTTTCCCATACTCTCCAGAACCTGGTTGCCAGGAGAGCAGAAGCTGCTCAGATCGGGTGCAGAGGAGGAACTTGCCGCCGTCTTTGCGTGGAAAGCGCATTTCTGGGTATTTACTGACAAGTAGGTGTAATTACAGCACGCACATATGAGGGCCGCAGTATATCAAAACTGTCTAAATAAACAGAGACTCCACCGTCTCCTTCAAGCCCCACTGCGCATTTCTGAATGGGATTGCTTCCTCATTTTCTTCCATGTCAGTAGCAGGGAACTCAGAAAGCATTGCCTTGCAAATGTACATATCTGCAGCCAGCTGCAGCAGTAACCCTGCAGGCTGGCTTTCTGGCTCACCCTCCCATTGCTACCCCCCCTCCACACACACTGACTGGCTTTCTTGCTCACTCCACCCCCCACACACACACACACTAACTGGCTTTCTGGCTCACCCCCCCACACACACATACTGACTGGCTTTCTTGCTCACTCCACCCCCCCGCCACACACACTGACTGGCTTTCTTGCACACCCTCCCATTGCCACCCCTCTCCCCAACCCCGTTTCCTCCCCCCATCCCCACACTGAGTCCCTGTGGGAGTTGTTCTGAGTTTCTGATTTCCAGGGCTCACTTCTGAAGATCCAGCAATGCTTAGGTGATATTGAATTACTGATTATCCTCTGGTTCTGTTCCCACTGAAGGCATTCTGGACAGCCACTGATTTGTCCCATTTTAAACCTTTGGTGGCATGAACTCACTGGGTTTCTGCCCACATCACTGCATTCCTGGGATGCCATTCACAGGCCTTAGCAGATCATCTGACAGCCCTGCGAGGTCAACTAACTTTAGACAGAACTAAACGCTCACAGGCAGGAGAAATCCTTTTTTTGCTCCCTTTCTCCTTGGGCAAAGAATACACATTCTGCCCCTTGGTCCCTCGGTCAGGAGTCTGAGTCCCACTTAGTTTCACATGATTTAATGCTGAGCGGAGTAGGAAAGTGATTGCATCCTCTACTGGGCCCCACAGAACAGTCACCACCCACACTGTTTATTCAGACTGGGATCTTGGCCATTTGGGGTTGAAGCCAGAAGAAAAGGGGGAAAAAACCAACCTTGGAATGAACACTTGAAACTCTGTATTCAGGATGAAATGTGGCCAAGGATTCTTTTTAAAAATCTTTAAAAAATCAATTAGTGGAATCATATTTTCATTTACCGTGGATTGTTAGCAAAAGCTAATAGCCTGTTCTCACCCAGGTTTTGAGCCTGTAGTGGATGCACTGACATTAGAATCAGCCCTCTGTTTTGCCCCAGTGTCTGATGCTACGACCAAACTATGTGTGGGCAGTTGGGTAACCCTGACCTTTGACCAGCTTTCCTTCCATAGGAGAACAAGGAGAGAGGTGTGAGGAGGAGAGACTGATGTAAACAAGCCTGCTAGGCCGCCTTGGAGCTTCCCAGGGGGAAGAGAACCACAGGAGCTTAGCCCAAAGGAAGAGTAGATCTCAGACCCGGGGAGGAGCCTCCTCGAGGCACCTCGTCCATCTGTCTCTAGTCAGGACTGCAAAAAATTAGCGCAGACATGGGAGATTGTATCGTAGTTTCACAGATCTCGAGAGGAGATTCCGGAACCTCCCTTGGTTACCCACCCTGCTATTTAGCAGTTCTTCCAGCCAGGAAATTCTTCCTGATTTGCAGCCTCAAATGTGCATGTGGTACTGCTCCGTGGAGAAGCTCCGGGTCCAGACCACGCCCACAGCATGTTTACTCCTCTGAGGGGATGGAGCCCATTACTGGCTTCTCCTTTAAAACTACAGGGTCTAAGACCGCCTTCCCGAGCAATGCATAGAGGACCCAAGATGGAACAGGGCAGAGGGTAGGCTGGGGGTGAGGAATGACGTTGAAGAGGATCTACCAGGCAATGGACACTCTTGGGCATTTTGTCTGTTTACCAAACTAAAGAACAAAATTACGAGACTAGAGAACGAGGGTTAGACATGTGCACATCTGAAGCTCCTGCTGCAGATTATAAAAGAAAAGGAAAAAGAATCCCCACTTGAGCAGAGATGGCTCAGTGGTTAAAAACACTACTGCTCTCCCAGAGGACCCAGGTTCAATTCCCAGCACCTGCCTGGCCACTCACAGCTGTCTGTAACTTGTTCCAGGAGTCCTGAGGCTCTCACTCAGACATACATGCAGGCAAGACACTAATGCACATAAAAAACAAACAAAAAATAACCTAGAAGCCCCCAAAACATAGAGGCTGGGATTTCACCCGACTCCAGGTGGCCTCTTCCCCTAGTATTCAACACAAGGAGCCAGGTCGGGGATGGGGCTGAGCTGTTATGCTTGCCTCCTATGGCAAGGCCTTGGCTTCACTCGCCAGTAAACCAAGTGCACTGTATGCTTCTTCTAACCCTAGCATTTGCATGGAAAAGGTAGGAGAACCATAAATTCAAGGTCATCCTCAGCTACATAGTGAGTCTGAGAGTAGCCGGTGATGCAAAGAACCCAAACAAGGGGGCTGGAGAGGGCTCAGCAGGTGTGCGGTGCACTCCCAGTTCCCAGCATCTGTAAGGTAGCTCAAACTACCTGTACCTCTAGCCCTGGGGTCTGATTCCCTCGTCTGGCCCTTGCAAGCACCACACATGTAGCACACACTCATGAGTGCAGATAAGATAAAGTCTAAACAAAAGAAATAAATATGAACTAAAAGCTGGAGAGGGTAAGATCTGTCCAGACAGTTGTGGGGTACTCCTGTCCTTGGCTCGACTGAATGGTGCTCTTCTCTCACTTCCTGCATCCTGCTTTCCTCCTTAGCGGATGTAGTGAAGACTCAGCTTCTCCATAGTGAGCTACAGACCCACCGAGAAGACATCAGATGATCCGAGCAGCTGCTCAGTTCCCTTTTGTCAGATTGAAGTCATTGCCTTTCCTTAGGCAGAGGTTTGTCTCCTCCGCCCAGTTCCTTGTGCTGAATGAATGACTCACCGAGTGGTATGGTGTTCCTCGTGTGATGAGGGAGGCTCTGCCCACTGAAACAGTAAGCCACATAGCCACTGTGGGGCCATACGCCTTCAGCGTTGTCGCTTGTCACCTGATGATAATGCTCAGGATAAGACTGTCATGTGTCCCTCAACAGTGTGAGCAGTCTCAGAGGGATGAAGAGATGTTGCCATGTGACAGCGGCGCCCAAATTAGGATGGTTATTGGCAGTGTCTTCTGGGGCCTTTCTGAAACACAGAAGGGTGGAGGAGAAGGGCATGTGACTATCATATACACACCACCTCTTAAAACCTAACCTTCGACCCCAGCACTCGGAAGGCAGAGGCAGGCAGATCTCTGAGTTCAAGGCCAGCCTGATCTACAGAGGGAGTTCCAGGACAGTCAGGGCTACACAGAGAAACCCTGTCTCAGAAAACAAAGCCAAACCAAAACAAACAACAATAATAAAAAAAAAACAAGCAGAAAAGCATTACCTTCAAAAATATGAACGTAAAAATGCAAAACAGTACAGAGAACAATGTAAATACTGAGCACCCACAGTTCATTTAATAACCATTATTTCTTTTGTTTCTTATGTAGCCCAGTCTGGCCTGGAAATCACTAGTAGTTCCGAATGACCTCAAACTCACAGAAGTCCTCCTGCCTCAGCCCCCCCCCAGCGCTGGGATTACAGTTCTATGCCCACCACACCAAGTTTCAGACAGTTTAGAAAAGACTTGAAGAAAAACTACCTCTTAACTACTCCTTAGGTTGCCCGTAATGGTGTCCTACCCCAGTATTCTCAGAAAGGATCTGTTCAGCCCTTGTGGTGGTCGTGCGTGTTGACGATGGATTCTGTTATACAGTTCCGTATTGTAAGTGATGCCTACTATTGTTTTTTGACTTTAAAATATGCAGTTAAAGTCTTGCCAGATAATCCTTTTTCAGCTTGTTTTATCACTTGAAATGTTATTTTTGTAACTTATCCTAAGTAATGCTATCTAGTTGATGTAGGAGAGTCTTCTGTCTATCTGTTGCTTTTATTGGTTAATTAATAAAGAAAACTGCCTGGCCTGATAGGTCAGAACATAGGTAGGCGGGGAAGACAGAACTGAATTGTGGGAGAAAGAAGCAGAGTCAAGCAGAGGCAGAGAGCTGCCCGCTATGAAGCTGTCAGGTCAGACATGCTGAATCTTTCCCGGTAAGCCATGAGCTCGTGGTGACATACAGATGATTAGAAATGGGTTGAATCAATATGTAAGAGTTAGCCAATAAGAGGCTACAGATAATGGGCCAGGCAGTGTTTAAATGACTACAGTTTCTGTGTAATTATTTTGGGGGTAAGCTAGCCGGGATCCGGGTGGGAACGCAGCCCGCCGCTCCTTTTTACCACATCTCGTTCCTTTAGCTGCTCTGTTGCTGTGAACTGAATATTTATATGGCTCTCAGATCAGATTGAGATGTTGAGTCCTAACTCCACGGTGGTGCCCTGGGGAGAGGGACTGATGGACAGGATTAGTGACTTTATAAAGGATTCTCTTGAGCTCTTGCTCACTCCTTTTACCATGAAGGTGCTTTATGAGGGAGGCTGTGAGCGGGAAAGCCAATCCAGCACCTTGGTGTTGGATTCTCAACCTCTGGAACTGAGAAATAAATCACTATTGTTTTAGAGTAGGCTCTCCAAACAGTCTTTTCCCATGAATGCACCACTGTGCACCCATTGCCTCATCATGGGGCCTTAGAGGGTTTCTGGAGTTTGCTTTTGCTAAGTCGTGACTGTCATGAGCTTCTCTGGATGCATTTCCAAGTGGGCATGTTGAATTTTCAGACATAGAAAGGAATGGGGTTCCCAAGTCTGTATGGGAAGATGCCAACAACTGTGGAGCTGCCATAGCGTTCCCAACTCACCCTGCTGCAGTCGTGGGAGGGCCTGGCTGCTTGCATCTTCTGCAGGTCTTCGCATGGCCAGGTTCTCAGGTTTGCTGATCCGGTGGGTTAAGGGGCATCTTGTCATAGTTCTGATTTCCGTTTTTCTCTTGACTGTGGACTGTCTTCCCTGTAGTTCTTTGGCGGCTCTTTTTCTTTGTAGTACCTATTTGTGGATTCACTTTGGAGGTGAGGACTGTGGATTTTTTTTTGTTTTGTTTTTTTATAGTTGATCAGCTGTTCACTATCCATTATGGGTGCTTATAAGAAGTGTCTGCCTCCTTGCTGTGTCTTGCTTTTAAATGCCATGTTTGATTTTCAGCATCTTTTGTCATGTAAGGTAATTTGAAGTCAGTTATGCCATTTTTTGCTTTATGGTTTATATATTCATGTAAATCTCCAACTTAAATTTAAGTTGAAAATATTTTCTTTTTTCTAGATGTTTAAAGTCCACTGGTTCTGCTATTTGAAGCTTATTTGGGGGATAATGGAAATTAGAGATGGTTTTCTCTACATATGGATTAATAGTTGTCCTACCTGTTAAAAAAAATCAGTTTCCTCCTTTTCAGTTTTGTGTTATTACCTCTCACATGTGAAAATCTCTCTCTCTCTCTCTCTCTCTCTCTCTCTCTCATAAGTTTAGTCATCTTTGTCTGAACTAGATCGTCTTAATTAGAAAATATATGCATATATCAATATCTTAGTCTGTATTTTATTCTTTTCCAACTATCTTCACTATTTTGGATTTTCACCTTTTCTGTATAAATTTTCAAATCAACTAAGCGTGACCATAAAAGAACCCTTTCTGGGATTTGAGTATGAATTTTATTTGGTTTGTGCATTAGCCTGGGGCTATTCCTGTTGCTGTTGACCCTTGTTGCCTCTGAGTATGACATACTTCCATTTGTTTAGGCCTCAAAGCTCTCAGCCAAGCTATGTGTAATCAGTCATACATGCACAATATTTCATATGTATTGCATCTCTTTCTATATGTTTACTCATAGGCACTTGATAGTTTCTTGCTATTGCTGATAGAACTTCATGAAAATTGCATTTTCTAAAATGGTCATACTAACATATAAAGGTGTATTGATCTTCTTCCATGAATTGTGGCCAAACTCCTGTAATCATGTGTGGTTTATCATGGCTCTCTATGTGAACAACCACCTGTGGACAATGCCATTTGTTCCTTCACTTCTCATCCTGGTGTCTCTTATTCCCACTCTGACGGATTGCACTAATGATGTCTCAGGTGGTGAAAATGGGGTGGTAGGAGAGAGGCCATGTTTGTCTAGTTCCTGACTGTTCCTTTAGTACGTTGTAGGCTTTTAGTGCAGGGTTTTCCGGACAGATGGCTGTCTGTGCCTTGGCCCTGCTGCTCTCCTGGCCCTGCAGGCATCCCTCTACTTTAACCTTCCAATTGGTCTATAAAATTCTATTGGTTTTTTTTTTAACTCTCATTTTTGGAGCACAAGCTTATCGAAACTGAATCCAAAAAAGACACATTCACAGTTTGGATGCTTGCAAAGGGCAATTTCTCTGCCACCTCACATGATAGCTTTAAGATGTATGCCGAAAGTCCACTGTCCTGAGGCTTGGAGACATGTCTCTAAGTGCTGTCTGCTTGGGCCGCTGCTTGGAGGATGGTCCACCCTGATGCTTCATGCCTTGCATTGCTGCTGCTCACAGGGTAGTCCGTCCACATGCCTCATGCCTCATGCCTTGCATTGCTGCTGCTCGGAGGGCCGTCCCTCCTGATGCCTCATGCCTTGCATTGCACTACTTTACTCTCAGCCTAGAACTGCACAGCCTACACGCTTCCCTTGTGTTCTAAACTTCACATTGACGTTCCTCACGAGTGGGTCAGTTTTCACCTCCTTTGCTGAGCAATCGCTGAGTTCTGCTCTGTCCCATACTCGCCTCTCCCAGTGATCTCTGCTCTCCTTCCTAAAGCCTTCATTTAGGTGTTGTCTCTAATCTTCTCACATTTCCCCTCCTGTCTTCCATCTATTTGTCATTTTGCAGTGTTTTTAGATAATCTCTCTAATTTCAATTTCTAACCCACCTATTTGGTTTTCATTTCTGTAATCTTAAATTTCCTCTTTTCATCTATAAATAGGTTTTTAATGCATTCTGTTCTGTTTTCAGAACGTGTGAGCTTTCTGCAATTAGTTTTCATTTCAGAAGTTTTTTTTTCTTCTGTTTTGCTGTCTGTCTGTGTCTTGAGTTCTAGCTCTTGTCTAGAAGTCTTTCTGGTATGTCTGGCCATCTTGACTATGTTACCTGGTTACTTTTAGGAAGGGATAATTACTGAATTTATTGGAAACTATGGGGTTGCACAAAGAGAATGCTAGCTTTGAGCATTGCTGTAGAATGATACGTTGTTGCCGTTTGCTCGGAGAACTCATGATGTCAGCCCTAAAGACTCTCTGTGCGGTGTCCTGGAGATGCTCTGACTGTCGAGAATACTCCACAGGTGAAGTAGGAACTTTCTCTTCCTAGGCCAAACCTCTCACATCACCAAATGGGATGAGTAGATGAGGATAAGAATAAAATCTACAGACTAGGGATCTAACTGGTGCTCAAACATTCTTCTCTTCTTCTGGTGGCTCCTCCCTCTTCTCTCAGCTGCAGCTGCAGAGGTGACTAGAGCTGCTTCTGAGCCTGGTACCTGCCAGCCCTTCCCAGCAACCTCACTCCTGTCTCAGGCCTCTGCTTCTTTTGGGTTCCGTTTGTTGGCAGTATGATCACTTATCCATCTTTTCTATCTTCTAGAATATTATCACTCCTCAATGGACCCTGATATGTCTGCTTGCAGCATGTGGGCCACATTTACTGCCTCAGTCTCAGGATGGCTATGAATGCAGCCCAATGTAAAAATTGTAACCATATTTGGAACATTCCTGCTTGGGCATCAGAATGCGAGCACCATCCCCAAGCCTCGGTGGGTAGCTGTGCTGTACACCGTGAAGACAACTTCTGATTTAAGTTTCGGCTTCCATGCTTATGTCTCCACTTTTCCTCCCTTCCAGTCCTTCAGGTTTCTAACTTCACCATTAGTTCTTGTGGCATTTTCTTCAGAATTTCACTTCGGTACAGTGGGAAAGGATCCGATCATCCCAGTGCTTGTTAATTTGCTGGAAATGATGCTCAAGTCTACCCTTGAATTCAGTCTGTTACTTCTTGGTCTTTTGCTTAACATCAAGTGAGATAAACCTATGGCATCTTACACAAAGCCTGAAATTAAGTCTAAAGAACATGGACGGTTAGAGATAAAAGGGTTCTTCAGGGGCTGGAGAGATGGGTCACTGTTAAAGTGCTCGCTTTGTAATCATGAAAACCTAAATTTGAATTCTCAACATTCACATAAAATGCGAATATGGTGACGTCACACTCATGAAACCCCAGTGCTAGGGGAAGAGAAAGAAAAGTTCTGCAGTTTGTTCGGACCAAAATAGTAAATTCTAGGCTGAGTTAAAAGCCTATCTCAAAAACAAAGAGAGAAAGGTAGAGAAATCCTGATGTCAACCTCTGAAATCCCCCACCACAGCCACCACCGTGCAAACACGTGTGCACGTGGGCATGCACACACACACACACACACACACGCACGCGTGTGCACACACACACACACACACACAGAGGGAGGGAGGGAGGGAGGGAGGGAGGGAGGGAGGGAGGGAGGGAGTATCATCCCACCCTCCACAGCCAGTTAGCAGGAAGCTGGGCTGAATTAGAAAGATGGCCGCTGTTTCCTTCCCACACCACAGGAACACTGCTGTACAGTCACCAGCTCTTGGCTGATTGTCCAGTTGCTTGGATCTGATGGTTGTGGAGCCTGTGACATTTTGGGAAAACCACAGACTCTTTGTATTTTGTTTTTATTTTTCTCTTTTGCCATATATGGTAATACTACTTAAAGAATCCTTTAAGAGGTTTGTGACAATCCAGTTTTTTCTCTTTTTAAGTAGAATGGGGTAGGGTGGGGAGGGTGGGGGGTGGGGATTAGTGGGGATGATATGTTGGAGTATTGTGTGTGTGTAAGTGGGGTGTGTGTGTGTGTGTGTGTGCGCGCGCGCGCGTGTGTGTGTGCACATGTCCATATAGAGACCTGGGATTGAGAGTGTGTCCTATATCACTTTCTTGTCTTTTTCCTTCCTTTCTCCCCCCCCCCCCCCCATCTTTTTTTTTCTGTTTGAGACAAATAGAAATCTCTAACTGGATCTGGAAGTTGATATTTGGGATAGATTAACTGGCCAGCAAGTCTCTGCCCACCCTGTGGCCTTTTCCCCAAGTCCTGGGTACTGGCTCACAGTTTTCACATGATTTTCACATGGTTTTCACCCTGGTTTTCACATGGGTTCTGGGATCAGAAGGTGGGTTCTCCTGTTTGCATAGCAAGCATGTTACCTGCTGAGCCATCTCCATAATACCTCCACTCCCTGTTTGGAAACAAACACTCTTTCCTTTCTTCCCCTTCCCTCCCCTTCCCTCCCCTTCCCACCCCTTCCCTCCCCTTCCCTCCCCTTCCCTTCCCTTCCCTTTTCTCCTTCTCTTTTCTCTTTCCCCTCCAGTTAAGGGCCCATCACCTTCCAAATCATTCACTGAAGACCGAACCATGGCCCCCTTCTTTCGGCTTTTAGCTCCTCTGAGCTATGTACTCACCACCATGCTACCCGTCCTGCTTCACTATTGCTTGTGCTTTAGCCGCACCCTGAAACTGAAAGGGCCGGGCCTGCAGAGCCACGGTTTGTTAGTATCACCACTTCCCCAGTATGTTTTAGCAGATTAGTTGGTGACGAAACAGCCCAAAGGAAATATGTTCTCTTAGATAGCAGCAGCTTGGTGTGAGGAAGCGGGGATTCTGGCCCTTTGCTGCTCTGTGTGTCCTGAGCAGACCACTGTCCCTTGCATGTCCCTGGCCTCGAAGGTGTGGGCTCATGCAATCTGCCACTCAAACTGGGCCTGTTCTGAGAGTGAAAGGGGCACTATTAATAGCTTTGCAGGAACAACAGGTGTGCACTGGGACTCTCCCTGACAAGCCAGGACATATGGCCACCTTATGTCATAGATCACCTTGAGTGCTTCAGGGAAATTTGCACAGCTGCTCTTGAGATACGGATCTTTGAAACAAAATTATCGTCCCATACAAAGACTTTCTTCCACCAGATTAACTTCACAGGTAATAAAATGTTGCGTTTTTTTATATTTTTCATTTTTTAGACATTCTTTTTTTTTCAGCTACATTTGTGGCTCTGATCTCTTGTTGAAAGTGGAGTTAAAGGTGGAAGATCTGAGGATTAGGCCTGTCTTCATTTTGTGTAAGTCCACTGCATGCCAGAGGAGACACATATCCTTGTTTTCTAGAATTCTATGCTTTCTGGGGTGTTTTTGCAGCATAGGGGTCCTACTCCCAAGATGCTCAGCAAGGGGAAAGGCCTGTGGATGGCGAAGTACAGGCAGTACTATGTCTTCATAGCAGTGGATCTCTAGTGTTGGATTAACACCGTGTGACAGACTTTCAGTAGTCACAGGAGGAACGCATTGCCTCCTAGCTCCCTTGCCCCTGGAACTCCTGCTGGCATGTTCTGATGTGATCATCACGGATACTTGTTGGCTGTAAATTCTGTGGCAGACAATATTGGCTGGTAAAATCATCATGAGGCTGACAGCTCCCTTGGTGTTTGTTTGTGTTTATGGAGAGCTGGCATGGTTGGACCACAGTGTTGGGATGCAAAGGAAAGTGGGTAGGAATTGATGGTCCAGGAGTAGCTCCAGGATGGCAGGTGACTAAAGCATGGCAGTTCCAGAGGAGCAATGACCAACCCGGCTGAGGTAATGACATTTGGGCTGGGTTCGAAAGGTAGGCTTTTTCTCTATGGTCGATGTGGCAGACGGTCATCTCACACGGTAGGAATGGCATAAAGACAAACCTCGAGTGAGATTGTGTGGGAGACACAGGAGAGTCTTGTGTGCATGGAAGACAGACATCTCTCAGTGGTGAGTTAAGTAAGTCAGGCTATGTTATAGACATGGATATTGGAGAAGATTCAGGTGAATGGAGTGACATCAGATGACTCATGATTTAGAACGGCAGTCAGTTGATATGAGATCAGAACAGGGAGACCAGGTCTGAAAAGGTCTTGATGTAGGGAGAGACAGAAAAACCGGAGTAAAAAAGATGGGCCAGAGAGGAGATTCAGAGCTGCTGCTGACTGCATGGAGGTCACAAGCAGACACAACTGTAATGGAAGACTCAAGGGGCTGAGTGGAGGGCAATGAAGAGGAGATGGGTGCCGCTTGTAGAAAAACTTCGGCATGGCTTTGCAAAGAAGGTCCTCGGTGAACAGTGAGGGAAAGGAAGGAGAGGGAAGAAAAGTAGGAAAAGGAGGTGGAGCTTCACCTTTTGTTTCTCTTCTACAGCTGGGGGCAGAGCTTCGCAGAAAAAAAAGCTTTCAGCTACAGGAGAAGGAAGAAGGAGAAGTGGGTTGGCGAGAAGGCGGGGCCTAGATAGTAGGAGTGTCCTTCCATAGCAGGAACATTCATTTCATCAAAGAGAAAAAAGAGGAGCTTCTTGCTATGGGAAGTGTACCTGCATGAGGGGAAATGTCCTGCCTGGGGTCCTCAGGCCATCAGCAAGAACACAATGCCTACTTCCTTACCAGTCTACACGGAGAATCCCGTTCCTTGCCAGTCTACACAGAGAATGCCATTCCTTACCAGTCTACACAGAGAATGCCATTCCTTACCAGTCACACGGAGAATCCCGTTCCTTACCAGTCTACACAGAGAATGCCGTTCCTTACCAGTCACACGGAGAATCCCGTTCCTTGCCAGTGTACACAGAGAATCCCGTTCCTTACCAGTCTACACAGAGAATGCCGTTTCTCATGAAGAATGCTCTTTCATTCTTTTTCAGCTGTTGAAAATGGCAGCTAAGTGATCCTTTCCTGGGAGAAGCCAAGTCACACCATATTTTTCTGAGGGATACCCACAAACCAACTTCTTTAAACAATTTCATTACATTTGTGTGTGTGTGTGTGTGTGTGTGTGTGTGTGTGTGTGTGTGTGTGTAAAACAACTTGTATGAGTCTAGCTTCTTCTTCCACCATGGGATATCTGAGCTCAAACTCAAGGCCTCGGTCTCAGTGACAAGTGCTTTTACCCTCCGAGCCACTTCAAAATCCATCAAGTGATTCTAGTCCATTCTTTTATTGGAAACTCTGCTCAGAATTTGTCTTGCGAGTACGCCTTTTGTTTTCTTTGTCTCAGTCTTTGATTATTTAGTGAATGTTTCAGCTTCATGATGGCATGCTGTTGGGAAGGGTTGCATTAGTTCATGATGGCATGCTGTTGGGAAGCATTGCATCAGTTCATGATGGCATGCTGTTGGGAAGCATTGCTTTAGTTCGTGATGGCATGCTGTTGGGAAGGGTTGCATTAGTTCATGATGGCATGCTGTTGGGAAGCGTTGCATTAGTTCATGGTGGCATGCTGTTGGAAAGCGTTGTATCAGTTCGTGATGACATGCTATTTGGAAGTGTTGCATCAGTTCCTGATGACATGCTGTTGGGAAGCATTGCTTTAGTTCGTGATGGCATACTGTTGGGAAGTGTTGCATCAGTTCGTGATGATATGCTGTTGGGAAGCGTTGCATCAATTGCATTGCTGAGATGATCTGCCTGTGTTGTGTTTCATCAGCTTCAAGACTGTCAGGAAACAGACACAGTTCATTTAGCGAACCACTGTGACTGATGCATCTGAGAGAAAGAAGGCAGAAGGGCTGGTAGCTGGCATGGCATTTCATCTTGAGTCAGAATCCGGAAGGTGGGAGGCTCTTTGAAGCCACCTCCTTCCACCTTCTTCAGCACAGCACTGTGATCCTTTCTCTGACAACTTCTAAGGAAAGGGCGGAGTGTTCCCAGAATGTGCAAACTGTTAGAAACGAGCAGACCACAACTACATCAAAGTGTCTCTGCTAATTTCTCCTTATGCTGATGAGAAACCTGCTGTGTTGACTGGAACAGAAAGTGAGTCAAGGCAAAAGTTACCCAGGAACAGTTTTTATGTGATCTATAAGTCCTTTGTTTGTCCTAGTCAATGCTTGCCACAACTGTGTGTGGGGACAAAATATCTCACATCCTAAGTGTAGGCTTCTGTAGTTTCTGTCACATGTCATCCTTTCTGTTGGCTTATGCTTACCCTCCCTGTGGGTTTCAAGATGGGGATACATTTAGAGACTAAATACACTTTTGTATTTAATCACATGACTTGGACATTTTCTGAATGTCAAAGTTTCTGTAGGCACCAGCAAAACTTCACTAGGGCCACTTGCCAGTTCTTCAACCATATTCACTCATTTATTCTGTTCCTTAGAGGACATTTCAGGTTTACAAGAGCCCGCTCACTTTGTACCATCTCTACCAGAGCCCTCATCAACTACATTGATGCCCCTGCTCCAAGTATGGCTTAAACCCCACTTTCTGAGAGTCGCCATAGTTAATATCTGAAGGCATCACTTGGATGGTTTAAGGTTCTACTCGGGAATATACACTGCAGTATGTTCGACAGGATAAGCGAAATAGGATTTTATAGAAAAATCTGAAAATACAGAAAATAAATAAGAAATATCATGGGTGGTTTGCCACCAAACAAACAAAGCACAACCTACTGCTATTGACTAGCACTTTGTGTGGCTGTCTCATTGACATTGCCTGACACTTACAGTCTTAGGTTAGTCATGGTATAACTTGGCTTTACAAGCTCACCTTGCTACCTTCTTCTTTGGGAACTATATTGCCCCACATATAACTTTTGCATTTTGCCCTTAATAAGTCTTTTTTTCACTCATAGTTGATGGGGCTATAAATATGTCAATACACATACAAGAACAACACACAAATTCTTTAAAGGCATCTCACCAGATGAAAAGAAAACCACGGACATCGTGGAGACAGGCTGCTACCACCCTGTGTTTACCTTACATGTGTTTACCTTACACACATTGTCTCCCTTCAGTGGCCTCACAGTTCACAAGTAGGCTTCCTAGTCATCACCATCTTTCATTTTCCACTTCTTTCCCTCCTTCTCCATATTCCTCCTCTTGTCCCTCTGGCCTGAGCACTCATGTTTGAGATGTGTCCACGTCCTTCTGTATGTTACTCAGCTCACACAACCACACTGAACAATTTTGGATCCATGCAAATATGTCATAAATTTTGTTGTCATCTTATGAAAATCAGATTGAAAATACACCTTTTTTCTTTCTTGTTTTACAAGACATTATTGAAATGCCCCTGCTGTTTTTATATGTTATGTTTGATTCCAGTATTTGTTTTTATTCATTGCCAATGTGAATTTATGTAACATGAGGGCCGGCTTGTTGGGGTTTCCGTCCCGCCCAGTACCCCAACAGCCGGCAAATCCCAAAGAGAAATTACACACAGGACTCCATAAGGTTATAAAGCTGATTGGCCCATTAGGTCAGGCTTCTTGTTAACTCTTATAACTTATGTTACCCCATTATTCTTATCTACGTTAGCCACATGGGCTCAGTACCTTTCTCAGTGTGACAGCTTACATGTTGCCTCTTTGGTGGTCTGGACAGGAGTGGCTGAGAGAGAGCTTCTGCTTCCAGAATACTCCCAGTCTCTTTGCTCCACCCCTACTTCCTGTCTGGCTTTCCCGCCTATACTGCCTGCCTGGCCAATCAGCGTTTTATTAAAATATGATTGACAGAATACAGATAATTCTCCCG